GGCGGCACGGCCACTGGCGAGAACCTGCCGACCTTGATCACCAGACAGCGTAGACGTCGACGCTCCTGCCAGTCCGTCGTTACGTTTGCACTGAGTCCTACTCCGGACGATCAGCCTCCGCGGCCTGCTTCCGCAGTAGCTCCTCTCTGTTCCACCAAAAATACCGAGCATGGATGTGATGTGGAGGATTTTACTTTCACTCCCCGGGGCGGTGTGACCGTAGCTTCAGGCACGCCTTCTCGACGGTAGGCGCGCCTATTGTTTTCCATTTTACTTTCTGCCCTTCCTGCACTGGAATCGTAGGAGTTGCCTGTACTTAGCGTGGTTGTTATACTCTCATCTAAAGTCTTGAACCTTTACTAGGAAATCGGTGCACTAGATTTTTATGCCCAAAGGAGGTACGATGGCGCAGTTTTATGCCAACAGGTAGGTTTAAAGTCACCGCATAGATATTCCGGTTTTCCACCATGGCATTTTGTTTCCAATTTAAAACTAATTTTTGTCTAGCTTTGTCTGCTTATATTTTCTTATAGCTTTTCTACATTATGCGCGTTAACATACTTACATGCTTACATTTCGCGAACAAGGATTCTTTTGCCATCACATTTGCAAGCACTGAACCATTTACAAGTAGGCATTCGAGATGAATGTTTAGACATCTGGCTTCGTACACATGTTCTCCTGATTGTGATCTTGAGATAAGTCACTTCTTTCAGATGCCATACGCTACTCCCTATAGCACGATGTCTTTCGTTGGGACATGCGTATGTGCTTTTAAGTGAATTTGACCGCCTAAGGTTACCCAAAATAGTTGATATAATTTAGGAAACCGGCATTGCGGGTTCCGTATACCCCCAAATACTTTAGTTTCAAGTCCTTTATTCCAATTGGGAGAGTATTACTGCATTTTCTTTAACAGTACTTTACATTTGGCCCCAAATGTCTTTTCTGGCAGATAATTTGTCTATTGTGACGTCATATGATCTTCTTCTACCGTTGTGGTGACGACTTTGCGGATATATTCTAGTATATGAGGTGCAATAAAAGTAGTCTCTATATTGACAAGTGTTATATTTATTCACATGGCTTCTCTTCTGCTGAATATCATTGTGTTTTCTTCCTCAACTCCTGCGAAGAAACAAAAATAACCTATGATCCATTGCGTGTTTCGATCCCATCAAGCAATAGGATGTATTTTGTTAGAATTTCATCCTGTCGCTTATTTTAACAAATCAGTTCTTCCCTTACTAACAGATTTGTGGATAATTCTAGCCTCTGAGTAATAGGAACCGGAACTTTTGTTTTGCCTCTCCTGAACTTCGCTTTTTACTGCTCCGAGTCATTGGTCGAATGCCCAACTTTCCCTAGACCCATTTGGTCCAAAACATGTATTTTATCTGTATGCAACATTTCTACAATAGGTCTGCTCTCGGTGAAGCCTCTGGCGGCAGTTGCGAGCCTCAACCCGCTGCCGTCGGTAGCGGTCTGCCAGCGACCGAGCTTCGAACAGTTTCGGACTCAAAGAGCGTCAACAGCCTGCAGAAGGAACTGAAGAACACCCTTGCTGCTTATCGCTCCAAGAGGCAACAAATTACGCACCTGCATGAAACCCTCTTCTCCACTCGCTGCGAGCTTCGAAAGGCGGTTTCAGCTCGAGACAAGGCCGAATCAGCACGCTCAGAACTGCAGGTGAGGCTTTCATCTGCTTGCGGTTTTGTATTGCTTTGAAATACCATGAAATTTGGATTGGGGGTTTACTTAAAGTCCGCACGTTACTTTCTGACGAAGTTAAAAGACGTAACCAAGATTCGTTTCCCCACACCGTGTATCAATCTCGTTATGTATTTAATCTGTAAATAATGCTACTTTTTAGTTTCAGTAGCAATAATAAATGCCTATATCCTGTATCCTACAGTTGTCTATAGTCGGTTTCTTTTACCTAGATGCGAGTGCGTGCACTGGAGAAAGAACTGGGTTTCCAAGAGGAGTTACAGAAGCCCGGTGCACGCGAGTCTGCTTTACTCGGACAAATTGAGCGCCTTCAATCGGACTACTCACGTCAAGAGTCTGAATTACAGGTGTGCATGGTTTCGTCAACGCTTCTGCACTTATGCACGGATTATTATTTCTTCCTTTACATATTTCTGTCATTATTATTTGCTTTGATGCGCCTGGCTACTACTGTTTTATCCTATAGCTTTTAGACAAAACAGAACATTGTATTCTGTCCCGTAACCAGATCATCACGTTACAACCACAGGTGTCATAACATCACTCCCCCCCTTTCCCAACTGAAGTCTGTGGTTGTGCATTCGAATTTTTATCGGCATAGTCAGGGTTTTAATTTCAGAATTTGTTAGCCTAGACTTGTGACATGACTGATAGAGAGTCATCCCATTCTCTCGTGTCTGTGTCCAAACACC